TTTTTTTTTTTTTTTTTTTTTTTTTTTTTTTTTTTTTTTTTTTTTTTTTTGGTGTGCTAGTGTTTGAAGTATGGGTATGGAGCAAAACAATCACGATGCAGAGGAGGGGACTCTGGAGATTGGCATGGGTAGGTTTTTCAGTGGCTTATCCTTGCTTTCATTTGTCAATTTTTGGAGCTTTATTGTGAGAAATTGGATATAAGCTTGAGTTGCAGAATTCTTGGAACTTTTGTGCTGTGTAAATGATTTTTCGATTGGTTTTCATGTTGCAGAATATAGAACAGTCTCTGGTGTTGCTGGTCCATTGGTTATTCTGGACAAAGTCAAGGTTTGAATTCTTTCTTTTCAGTTCCTCTATTATATTCTATACAGGATCTCGTGACTGACTCTATTTCTCAAATTGCCAGGGACCTAAGTTTCAGGAGATTGTTAATATTCGTCTAGGAGATGGATCAACCAGGCGTGGTCAAGTCCTGGAAGTTGATGGAGAGAAAGCTGTTGTCCAGGTTATTTTCGTCATACGTTTTCTGTCTTAATTCCAGTTTCACTATCAGACTGGTTTGCGATCATGTTGATATGATCAATTCTTGCTACGTTTCTACTGAGATTGTACTGTCTCACTTTCTTTTATGTTGTTTATTCATGGAAAGCTGTTCATCTACTTATAATATTTTTATTTGAATTTTGCTGTTTTCAATTGCCAGGTTTTTGAAGGGACATCTGGAATTGATAACAAATATACAACTGTGCAATTTACCGGAGAGGTACAGACCCAATTAGAGTAAATGGCTAAAATCATCCTGCCAAATGAATTTATCCAATTCTCTCTGTTTTTGTCGTGAACTATCAGTCTTGTGTAAAGGGATTGAATAGAGAACATATTGCCAAGAGACTTGTATAAAGGAAAGATCATGCGTGGTTAATCAGTGAAGCCCATTAAAGGACTATAGATTGGTTCAACTGCATAGCTTTTCGATGTCCAAGGTTTTGTTCCAAAGTGTACCTAAATTGGTATCTAGGAAAACGTTGTTCTATTTACATTTTGTAATGGCACCATCGTTACGTGTATACATGTTTGCTTGGACATTTAATTTTTGGAAATTCTGCTGCCAGACACTGGAACATTAATACTGAAATTGATAATGTTATAGAAGAGATTCTTGGATATATCTTCTTCTTCTTTTTTTCATTCATTGCGGTCTTTGATAATCGGACCTTGTTCGCCACTTGATTTTATGGCTCATCACTTCTGTTCTATGTCATATTTACAGGTTTTGAAAACTCCAGTTTCCTTGGACATGCTTGGGCGAATTTTTAATGGTTCTGGAAAACCCATTGATAATGGTCCTCCTATCCTGCCCGAGGCTTACTTGGATATTTCTGGTGTGATGTTAGAATCTAGAGAAATCATTTTCCTTCTTTTTCCATTTTCATAAATTCACAATTTATTATATTTTATTTTCCTCATGTGCTATTCTTCTTCCTTAGGGAGTTCTATAAACCCTAGTGAAAGAACTTATCCCGAAGAGATGATACAGACGGGGATTTCTACAATTGATGTCATGAATTCCATTGCTAGAGGACAAAAGATCCCACTTTTCTCAGCTGCGGGTCTTCCTCACAATGAAATTGCTGCCCAGATATGTCGTCAGGCTGGCTTGGTAAAGCGGTTGGAGAAATCTAAAGATCTTCTTGAGGTACAGACTATAGCCGTATAATTTTGCAGGCATGCGTTTATTTTATGTTTTTCTTTCTCAATGAGTTGGTTTGGAAAATGGCATCCACTTTGAAATTTTTATTATTTACTTTTTTAATAATGTGTACAACAATCAATAATTTTCTAATAATCTAGAAATATAATGAATTTGATCGTCAAGTTTGAAGAAGTTTTTCATTGAATTAAGAATGAATATAATCTCCAAGCTTTTCAAGTCAAATTTGCAATTGCATGCGAGTTACTGCAATACTGAAATATATGCGAACTGGGTAATTGGTCATTGGTTCTCAGCAGCAGTTCCTTGGCTTGTTAATTTTATAACGTTGATGCTTGTTATAGTGGTTAGTATTTTTTTATATTTATATAATATAAATGAAATAAACACAAGTTTTTGATTTACAGGGTGGTGAAGAGGACAACTTTGCCATTGTTTTTGCCGCTATGGGTGTTAACATGGAGACTGCTCAATTTTTTAAACGTGATTTTGAGGAAAATGGTTCAATGGAGAGAGTGACCCTATTTCTGAACCTGGTACTTTTTTTCTACATCAATTAATGAATCTTTGTTACGATTATTTATTCTTAAATATGGAGGCCGTGCTGTTCTACAGGCTAATGATCCTACAATTGAGCGTATTATCACTCCTCGTATCGCTCTTACCACTGCTGAATATTTGGCTTATGAATGTGGGAAGCATGTTCTCGTCATACTGACAGATATGAGTTCTTATGCTGATGCCCTTCGAGAGGTAATGCAATGATGTATTTAATTTTTAGTTTGCAAAACCAAATGCAATAAGAAATACAGGACATGTCCTAGATGATAGCGGATCTTTTTTAATTTTATTTAATATTGGAATTCGGCTGAGCTATATCTTATCTTTTAGTACTACAGTTCTTTTCCCCCTTAAAAGATTGTTTTCAGTTGATGACAACTTTTTTTTAACTAACTGATATACAATCAATGGAGTTCTTTTAGTGAAGAAACTTGATATCTCAGTTAATTTAGTTTACCCTTTTTGCTTCTCAAGTTAATTTACCAAGCATTTAAATCTGTTAAATTTATTAAAAGATCACTTCTAAGAGTTTCAAAATAATTCAAAATTCATGCAGAATTCTAGTAGTTTTGATTGGGAGCGTTTAAGATCTGCCAAGAAGGGGAATTAGAAGAAAATAGTTCAAAAGACAAATATATAATTGACTTCTTTTGCAGGTGTCTGCTGCACGAGAGGAAGTACCTGGAAGGCGTGGATACCCTGGTTATATGTATACTGATCTTGCTACAATCTATGAGCGAGCTGGACGTATTGAAGGACGTAAAGGATCCATCACTCAAATCCCAATCCTAACCATGCCAAACGATGGTAATGCTTTCTCAAGCTATATTTATTGTCGTATTAAGTAAATATTTTTGTACTTTTGGCGTTTTAATTGATTGTCTTGGCGTTTTGGGGTGATCAGATATTACACATCCTACTCCCGATCTTACTGGCTATATTACTGAGGGACAGATTTACATCGATAGGCAGCTCTATAACAGACAGGTGAGTTTATGGAGCTTGGGGATTTATTTATATTAACGTTTTTACTCGATGCAATTTAAAAAATAATCAACCATTAGATGCTCTTGTAGATACTCGTTAGCGAAAGCATTCCATATCTATCTGTCTAGTTGTATAGCTGAGTGTACTACATTTTTCTAATTTTAAAGTAATCCATCCATCATTTGGCTGGGCCATTCTTTTTAAGAAACTAACAGTAACATACTGCCTCAATTTTGATAAGTTGTCAGTCAATTCATGAAATGTTATCCCCAAATGGAAAAATACTCTACTTGTCTGCTGGCTGCCAGAAATATGAAGTTACTTTTTCATGATCTTGGAATTTATGATCATAGTCTATGAAAGATAATTGTTACTCCATTTTACTTCGAAACTGAAATTATCTTCTTGGCTTGGCCAGATATACCCACCAATTAATGTCCTTCCTTCATTGTCTCGTCTTATGAAGGTAATTTTTCTTGCACAATGTTTCTTTTATGGTAGTTTAGAAGCATAGACAAATTCATTATGTACTCTAAAACTTTCTTCTGTCCCTGCAGAGTGCTATTGGTGAGGGAATGACCCGTAGGGATCATGCTGATGTATCCAACCAGGTTAGCTTTCTTTGTAATAGTTTTACATTCCATCTTTGAGCTAGTAATAAAGGCGATCCGACTTAAATTATCCATGCTCGGGGAAAACGCACAGCTCTATGCAAATTATGCAATTGGAAAGGATGTTCAGGCAATGAAAGCCGTGGTCGGAGAAGAAGCGCTCTCTTCTGAGGATCTGGTAATCTATCTTTCTTTCATTTTCCCATGAGGAATTGTTTTACAATGAAAAATTCCATCTCACAAGGAACTAACAATGCGTTCTGGAAACAGCTCTATTTAGAGTTTTTGGACAAATTTGAGAGGAAGTTTGTGAGTCAAGGAGCTTACGACACTCGAAACATTTTCCAATCGCTCGATCTGGCATGGACACTGCTTCGTATTTTCCCTCGTGAACTTCTCCACCGTATACCTGCAAAGACTCTTGATCAGTTTTACAGCCGAGAATCTGCAAATTGATGAACCAAAGCTCTTATATATACCGTAAGACGCTCCGCATAGATAGACCGTAATGAGCTTTGAGAAATCTTATTTTCATTCCCTTCGTTCTCTCTCCATATTGCATAAATTCAGAGTGAAAAGAATAAAAAAGTTGTGTTTCCATCTCATTGTCACAGTTGAGCCTCTCTTTCCAAGCAAAAGTCAGTCAGAATGGGAACAACATTCTTTTAGCAATCACATCGACCTCTTCTTCCAGTTTCTGTATTATGTTTAATTATTTTTGTTGGATTGTTGCATCAGCTCAACAACTAATAGGGCATCATCTAAATTCTAGAAAGGCCCTAATCCAATTCCTGTTCTTGTCTATTTATTGTGTAAGTTGATATTACATCGTGTATTTTCAACAGTTTTGAGAATTTCTGAGGAATTCAGTTTGATGTTATTATGAATAAGCTCAGTTTGTTGTGTTCTAATTTGCATTTATTGTATTCTAAGTGTTACAGCTTTATAACTCTATAGATATTATTCTATTCTTTTGCTAGATCTTTTACTTCTAGCTGATATGGTTCTTTTTGGGCTGTCCCTTTCCGGCTTCCTCTTAGAATTTTAAAATGCATATACTAGGGAGATGTTTTCACACCGTTGTAAAGAATATTTTGTTCATATCTCACAATCAACTAGCCTAACATCCTCATCGACACTCGTTTCCCTCCAATTGATATGGGATCTCACAATCCACCCCCCTTAGAGATCTAGCAAGCCCCTTGGAGATCTAGCAAGGATGTGGGATCCCACAATCCACCCTCTCAGGGTTCCGCATCCCTTCTAGCACACTGAGCTCTAGCTTTGATACCATTTGTAAACACCCAAACCCAACCATTTGTAAACGCCTAAACATCTCTAGCAAGGATGTGGGATCCCACAATCCACCTCCTTAGGGGTTCAACATCCCTTCTAGCACACTGAGCGCTCTGGCTCTGATACCATTTGTAAACACCCCAACCCAACCATTTGTAAACGCCCAAACCCACTGCTAACAAATATTGTCCTCTTTGAGTTTTTCCTTTTGGACTTTTCAATATCCGAGAGAAATTGCATTTTCTACCTGCAATTCTTATGAGAATAGTTTTGGAAAAAAAAAAAAAAAAAAAAAAAATCCTTCGACAATAATAATTTTACAAAAGTTATAACAAAAAAACATGTTTATAAAGAATCTTACATCACTACCTCTAAAACCCAAAAAAAGGTCACAGCCACAGAGAGATAAGATGTGACCAAGTCTATGATGAATATATATGGGAAAGAACTGGAATGGCAAAATTTCTTCATCATTTCCTTCAGAATAAAGTAAGGTAAATAACAAATTTAGAATCAAAGTTCATCCTGCTTTTGATGATCTCACCACAGATGGGAGTACAACTGAATCAAGGTTTCCAGGGTAAGTAGTCCACAAACCTAATCCTCCCTTCGTCTCTATCAAACTCGTCGACGGGTTACGCTTCTTCCATTGTTTATACTCTTTCATGCTGCTCATCTTCCCCTTAAGTTGATCCCAATCTTTAACCCACTCTATCAGAGAAGAGTGCTCTCTCGTATGTGGGTGCAAAATAAAAAGCGAGTAATACTCACAATTCGGAAACATGAAATACTTGAAAGAATCGCCTAGCCTGTATACCACGTACCCGAAACTCAGTTGGTCTCTTGGTGTGAACATGTGAACTTCGTTGAACCATAGGCAGCTAAACAAATTACTCATTGCTGTATGTTCCCTTATAATAATGGCTCCCTCTGGAACATCTGCATTTTTGAAAATTTGGATCAGGACAACATTTTTGTGGACACACACTATAATAGTCCAAGACCACGCTAGCAAATATTGTCCACTTTGGCTCATTACGTATCCTTGTTAGCCTCACGGTTTTAAAACGCTTCTACTACAGAAAGGTTTCCACACCCTTATAAGGAATGATTCATTCTCCTCTCCAACTGATGTGGGATCTCATAATCCAACTCCCTTGGGCCCAGCATCCTCGCAGGCACACCGCCCGGTGACTAGCTCTGTTACCATTTGTAACAGTCGAAGTTCACCGCCCCCTAACAGACGCGTATTAAAATCGTGAGGCTGATGACAATACGTAACAGGCCAAGGCGGACAGTTATCTGCTAGCGATGGATTTGGGCTGCTACACACACAAAGGTTGTGCAGAAAGCATGAACACAAGAGCACACAAAGATTGTGTAGAAAGCATGAACACGAGCACACAAAAAAAAGGTTCACCGATAAAAATACCCACAACTAATCACAAAAACAGGTTTCAATCCAAGAGAATGATGCCAAGTTGATAATTACAAGAAATCTGATTCACGGACACCCACAAGTACGAGTTATACTAAATTACCTAGGCTTATCACCAGACCTCTAACCACTCTAAAGATTCTACTGTTCTTCTCAAGCCAAATTCCGCTAAGATAGCGAAAAAACGAGCCTTCCACAGGACTCTTCCTCTCTATGTCGAATTTCTAATTTCACATATTACAGACAAAATAGTCCTAAGAGAACCAAATGACTTCAAAGCAAAAATAGTAATAATAATAATAATAATGAAATCTGGTAAGGATGGCCATGACTTACCACTGACAGTTTTCTTCTCTGGACTCCATGGTTCCATTCCTTCATAACGGTATATTTTCATGTGAAGGTCAATAAGAGGACGAGCATATCGCTTCCTTCGCTTATTGGAATCAGCCTCTTCATAGATACTACGATGATGCTTATGTTGCGCAATGGCAAAGGTATGATTCCCACGCCACAAGTATCTGCAGTGGGCATGAAAAGTAAATTACGAAGAACGCTTACAGATCAGAGGAAGTGTTTGGAGAAGTTCCATCATCCTTATCTCAAACGGATTTCTGGAATGAATTAACATGTTTCACACTCCTGCTTATAAAGCAATAAAGACTCCCCTTACAGACAGTAACCAGAAAGAAATTGGATTCACCCAGTTATGATAATTTAACACAAACGATACCCTTTTGGCTTTGCTGTAAATTGTAAGCATGTCAAATGATATCTTAATGGAAATGAATGTAAATTAAAATAATAGAATGTGGGGAATCACAACGCTAAATTTTCATAAAAACAATACCTTTCTAGAATGAGCAAAGGGTCAACTATCAGCTCCATTTTACCATCAATCCAGATACTATACTGTGCTTGAGGGAACAATCGATGAGTTATTATCTTCGGAACCTTTCCATTTCTTCGTGGCTCATCATAGGGTGGATGCTTCAGTAGAATGAGGCGCCAAATACCAACCCATTTTCCTCCATCGTTATCCACCTCAATGGTAACATTCTCTCTTATAAATTGCATAGAAATCTCATCCACCACCATAAGGAAGCAGAATAGATCTTTAGAGCGAACACTTATATTTGAAGGCTGTTGAGGAACATCATATCCATCAAAAATTCCAGAGGCAACCACAAACCTACACTTCTTGACATACTTGATATCAGCAGCAACCATTTCAGCCCCACCATTTCGCATAAAACCGCAATGCACCTGATTTAGAAACACAAGTAGTGACCAACTAATCTTACAATCAATAAAGGAAACTCCAAGGAAAGCAATGAAGCTAACAGGATGAGGATACAAACACAATACACATTCTCTCCCACCTTCATGGTTGGCTTTAGTTTAAAGCTTTCCTCTCTTTGAGTCCAGTTCTGGTGTCCTCCAAACAGCGGGGATGTTTGAGATCCATTTAACGAGTACTCATCTTCGGTGATGTAGACAAGTTTTTTGACAATTTCATCTCGAGTTCTTCCTTTCGGAATGACTACTCTATCAGCTTCATCCACTAAGGGAATCGAACAACCTAAGTATATATATCAATATAAATATCAGTACCTAAACACTAAGTTTTCTCCACTTTATTTTGATATGACAACGAAAACCCAAGTTCTAAACAGACACGAAAAACCGATTGCACAATCTTACGGTGTTGTGCCTTCACCATGAATCCCATTGAGTCCAAGATTGTGAAAACTTTACTATCTTTATTACACATAGCTGTATTTCAAGAAACAAAAAATCATATTAAGCATCAAATCACAAAATATTTGATCTTGAAACAAGGCTCAAACCACCAAGGACATAAATAGTTATCAAAATACCGGAGAAAAAAGTGATGGAAGAATGGCAAGACCAAACATGAAAGAGGGAGGCAATGAGAATCAGCAACATCCATAAAATTCCACCCACAAGAAATAATCGAATAAACCCCTTCTTCCAAAAAATCTTCATTGGGTAATCCGCAGGCAACTTTCCAGGAGAAATTAAACCTCCTTCAACATCTGCAATCACCACAACCAAACATTTTCATTTTTCTTGAACAGTTGATCCAAGAGAGAATATCCAAAATCCAAGAAACAAATATCTTAATCTTCATCAGAACTCAGATAACATAACCGACGGATGGAATTGCGTAAAAATGCAGCAGAATGAGACCAAACATTTTGAAATTACCTTTAGGGTGCAGATTTTGAATATTACGATCTCCTCTACGGTTCACCCGCGAAGAAAACGATCTCTGGAATTCGCTTTCCATAATTACAATCTCAACTTCTCATTTATACGACAATAAGACAAGCAAGAAAATAAAAACAAATCCACATTTAAATTTGGCGTCCTCAGAATGAAGATCTCTCCGCTAGCCCAACCTTCCGTTTCAATCTCTTATACGCAAACTGTTACCAGACGATTCTGAAAATTAAAAACACAACAACGGAAGAAAGCTCAGATCTGCGGAACACGTGGAATCAACAGAAAGTGATACAGAAGCTGAAATTGAAGCGGCAAGTGTCGGCATCTGAAATCTGAAGCACGGAAATGAAGTATGAATTTGAAGAAAACAATACACAATACTCCGAGATGGAATTTCGAGGGCTCTATCAGGAATCAATTGCCAGTAGTGAAATTTGTTTCGCCTTTCCTTGGCCTTGCCTCATCACTGTATGAACATTTGCCCGGATTTTGATGAACAATTGCTCGTAAAATGGATGAAGATACTTCCGGGATCTGATGACTCGAGTTAAAATTACAAGCTTCGTCTATCTTTTTTTTAAAAAAAAAAATAATAAATAAATAAATAAACCATACATCCCTACCAAAATTAATTTATGAGTTTTTTAATTATCAAATCATATAGTTTAATAATAAAAAAAAACGATATAAACAAATTTCTAATTTTCTTCAAATAAAAAAAAAATTAAATTTGTGATTTATTCTAAAATTAGAACTAATAACTTCTTTTATTTGAGTTTTTTCATTATTAAATTTGTTGTATAATTTTTTTTTACCAATATACTCCCTTAAAATAATGGGCTCATTTGTGCCTAGTTAATAAAAAATGGCCTGAAAAAAAAATATTATTGTGACTTTTTTTTTTTTATTGAAAAGATGTGCTGAGTAGATAAATCAGATTTTTCACCCGATGTTTTTTAAGTGATTTATTGAATTTTTAGTTTGAGTACGTGATTTTTTTTTTTTTTTTTTTTTTTTAAAAAT